CTAAACCTTTTGGATTGTTTTTGAAGGCAGTTTCATCCACAATGCATGGACAGTTTCTAAATGGGGTTCACTTCTATTCTGCTTGAAGAGAACAGGTAAGGCCATCTCTTCAAATGTACAGCTATTCCTGACAATATGCCTAACAGTTAAGCGCAAGTAGGCATAGGTAAACAAACATACCGTGTTTCCCCGAAATTACGACATGTCCTGATAATAAGGCCATGCCACATTTTTCTGGTGGGCAAAAATATAAGCCCTCCCCCACAATTAAGCCCCCTGGACAACCCCTCCTCCAGCTAGGCAGAGCGCCGCTCACTAACCTACCGATATCCTAAAGGTGCCAAGCCACGGGAATCAGGGGGGAGGCAAAGGTGATTGCGTTGCTTAGCGCCTTCAGGATACTGCTAAGTTGGTGAATGGCTCTGTGCCCATCTGAAGAGGGGGGTTGCTGGATGGCTGGTCTCTTGCGAGCGGGCTCCCAAAGAGCCGGGCACAGCAGCCACCCGGCAAACCCCCTTTCCAGCCGGGCACAGTGACATTCACTGACCTTGGGGTATCACCAAGTCACATGAGTGCCTGTTCGCCACCGACTGGCTCCCACGGCTTGGTGCCTTAGAAATGGCTGTGAATGGCGCTCTGCATGGATGGAGGGAGGGTTGCACGAGCGGCTGTTCCGCTCTTGCTCACGCGCCTGCCAGCCTCACGATGCCCTGGCCCAGCTCTCTCTGCAGAGCCAGGGCACCTCCGCTGCTGCCACCACTGCCGCCACCACCACCACTTGGCTTTTTCTGCGGCTTCCAAACCGAGTCTTCTGCCAGTGGCCGCTCTGGGTGTATGCCCTATGGTTGTGGGCCAGCTGCCAGCAGAGCGTACAACCATAGAGCATACGCCAAGAGCGGCCACTGCCGGAAGACTTGGTTTGCAAGCTACAGAAAAAGCCATGTGGCGGCAGCGGCAGCAGAACTGCTCTGGCTCTGCACAGGGAGCTGGGCCAGGGCATCGTGAGGCTGGCAGGCACGTGAGCAAGAGCGGAACAGCCACTCACACAACCCCCCTCCAGCCATGCAGAGTGCCATTCACTGACATTTTGAAGGCACCAAGCTGCGGGAGCTGGGTGGCGGCAAACAAGCGCTCACATGGCTTGGCGATACTCCTAAGTCTGTGAATGGTGCTGTGCCCGGCTGGAAAGGGGGTTTGCTGGGTGGCTGCTCATGAGTGTGATCGCTTCATGGCTACTGTGCTGTGCTGCTGTGACAGCGCAACATAGCCATTCGCCCATGAGGCTGTGCTCTGCTCTTTGGGAGCCCGCTCGCAAGAGAGCAGCCACCCAGCAACCTCAAAACAATAAATCCTCCCCTCATAATAAGGCCCAAGCCATATTTTGTGTGTAAAAAGAAAATAAGACCCTGTCTTATTTTNCTCTCTTTTAGCAACTGTCTTCAACCTTCAACATGGCTGGAGGCAAAGTAACTGGCTAACTGTTTTTCTGAGGAAGCTGATTAATATATTGACCAAAGTGGAACCATATAATCATACTTTCATAGTACATTATCAGTAGGGTGGAATATTCCTTTTCCCTATGAAAAACATCCTTTGCAATTGTTCACAGTTCTTGCTTTGAAGCCAAGTACAGGAAGCACCAGATCTGTTTTGAACAATGTGAGTCACAATAAAAGCTAACCCTTCAAGCCTAAGCAAAAATACACAACCCAATGAGAAAAATTTCCAGCCAGAGAATAACTGCTAGCAATGTTGAGAGTTCCTCTTTGCAGCCTGTCTTCAAAAGCGTTCCTCCAGTCCTTGAGAGGGTCAGAAATCGGACAAATGGACTCTCCCAGCATGAAGAAAGATGAAAATCAGATCAAGAGAGTGATAGGTCAGGATTTCTCCTGACTGTAAGATTTAGCCGTGCATAAAAAGATGCTAATCTTCCAGGGTTGGGTAGGTGGGGGAATCCCTACTCAGTGACCTCTCACTTGGAGTACTAGGCAACCTACAGAAGGGAAAAGATACCTTCCCACATTTTTGCAATACCTGACGCATGAGTTCCTCCTGACGCATGCGAATCCTTTCCCTCTCCATTTGGATTCTCTGAAGCCTCAGCTTCTGCTGCTGTTGCTGCTGGGAAGTCAGAGCATTTGGCATGTTCAATAAGGCAGCTTGAGGGTTTGGTGGAGGGTGATTCTGCTGAGATATAGATGCAGTGGGTGTCATCTGTGGCTGGTGCTGGTGATTCATTACTACGGAATAAGCATATTTTTGAAATTATGAGAATGCAATTATGCTGTATTTGTCTATTCATGCAATCAAGATTCCAGCTGTCTTGTAACATTTGTCTTCAGATATGTGGAAAAAAATAGTTATCCAAACACCTCCCTTCTGTATATACAAATTAAAAAAAACGGAGAATATCCATAGTTAAAAACAAGCAGAAGTTAAAATCACAACAAGCAAACTAGCATTTAGACTTATATACTGCTTGATAGTGCTGTACAGCCCTCTATAAGCGGTTTACGGAGTCAGCATATTGTCCCCAACAATCTGGGTCCTCATTTTACAGACCTCAGAAGGATAGAAGGCTGAGTCAACCTTGAGCTAGTCAGAATCGAACCCCTGGCAGTGAGCAGAATGAGCCTGCAATACTGCATTCTAACCGTTGGGCCACCATGGTTAAATATTCAGTTTTAAAAACTACTAAACCTCATAATCACATACGATATGCAGATTTTTAAAAACAAACACCAAAAAACATCCCTCTAGGTGCCTGCTGGATAATTGTGGAGATGTCATTTTTAAAAAATGTTATGAGTCTATCATGCAATGCCCATTTTTATCGAGTGACTAGCTGCCATATTTCAGGAGATGAAAATACTCAGAACAGGACCTCAATTTAAAAATCTAAGGGGATGTTAGGAAGTAGAACAAGAAGATAGGAAACAGCAGTGCTTTGAACACAAGAATGTGTTCCCAGCTGCATTTTTGCCACTATGTTTCATTTAGCTAAACCTTTTGGA